TTTAGGGGAAGTTGTTCCCGCCGGGAAGGGAGGAAGGGGGAACTCGGAGGTCCGGCACCGCGGCCTTCTGACGCCCCCTTGCTTGCGAAAAAACATATTATCAATATATTATTTTAAAATCCGAGGGTGGCATGGGTTAAGGAGGGCGGAAGACACCTCAGCAGGGCCACTGCTCTCCTGTCTCCTTGACTCCCCCACCCCTCCTCCCTCCGCATCCCTCCTTTAAGGTGGTGAAAAGTGAGAGGTGGGGAAATCGAGGACTCATTCCACATCTTGCAAGTAATCAGCTGTGAAACTGGCCTTCCTTTATGGAGCTCACAGGGCCAGCCAAGCCCTTGACAGTTCTAATAGGAATGGGGGTAAAGAATAAAGACCTAACCACAGGCTGTGCACCCAACACAGGAGCTGCCGGGACCCGCACTGGCCATTTACAGAGAAACGGCACCGGGGACCTGGTGTCCACAAAGCAACACTCGGCTTCCCCCAACTGGGACACAGGTCCCACCACCACCCCCGAGTGACAGCCCACCAAACCGCAGCCAACGCTGCCGCTGCCTAGACCTCATGGCTCAAAATGCGACCGACAGCCCAGCCCAGCTGTGGGTAGTGGGTAATGATGTCACCTAGCAACGCCCAGCTTCCTCTCCCTAGCAACTAGCCTCCTTGGAGTTTCTTCAGCCCAGGAACATGACTTGCTTTATAGCCAGGTGCAAACATTTCACACTGTAACCAAATGTCTGTGAAGCGTTTTCCCATGCCTCATTTGATCCTCACAGAAGTCCTGGAGTGGGTAGATAGGAGACTCAGTAGAATCCTATTTTCTTTTCATTAGCTGGAAAATAGAGATTTAGAAAGCTTAGAAACCTGAAAGCTTAGAAACCCGACTGAAAAGAAATAAGAAATGGTGGACCTTGAAAATGACTTCAGGTTTTCTCACTGCGCAGAATATAGTCAAACACTGCTGCAGTTAAATATTTTACCCTTTGTTCTCCCTGCGTGATCTACAATAATAATCTGCTTCGTGCTGATATTTACTGCTGTGTTGCTGACAATTACCTGCAAGAAGTTGGGGTGCCTCACTGGGCCTCTAGTCTTTCATAATAGAAGTCAGAATAGAGGCTACTTCTGGGAAGGATTTTGACTGGGAAGGGGGCGTAGGAACCTTCTTGGGCGCTAGAAATGCTCCCTTAATTTGGGCAGTGGTTTCACAAGTCTATGCATTTGTAAAAATACATTGAGTTGTACACTTATATGCATTGTATGTATGTTATACCTCAATAAGACATTTTAAAGAAGATATTCAAGCAGGAAAAAAGAGTACTAAACAGTATGATCCTCCTCTAAAAAGAAAATAAAAGAAAAATATAACAACATAGGGCAGCAGTTCTCATCTCAAACGTTTTTCATTGTCTCAGGACCCCTTTACACTCACATTATTGAGGATCCCAAAGAGCTTTTGTTTTTGTGGGCTATATCGATACTTATCATGGCTATTAAAATAGAAATATTTAAAACTCAATTGCATTAGCCATCAAAGTGATAACGTTAGCATGTCATGTAACCTCTGGAAAACTTTACTGTCCATTGTGAGAGAGTAAAAAAGACAAATAACATCTTACTGTTATTATGAAAGTAATTTTGAGCTCAGAGCCTTGGAAAACCCTGGGGTCCCTCAATCTCACTTTGAGGACCGCTGGCGGGGGGGGGGGGGGCTCTAGGGGAGACACACCACATGATAAATTATTCTCTCTCAGTGATGGATTATAATTTATTTTTATTTGCTTCTTCGTGCTTTTCAATTTAAAAAATGGAAAATATGCCCTGGACGGTTTGGCTCAGTGGATAGAGTGTCAGCCTGGGGACTGAAGGGTCCCAGGTTTGATTCCGGTCAGGGATGCAAACTCAGTCCCCAGTGTGGGGCGTGCAGGAGACAGCCAGTCCATGATTCTCTCTCATCATTGATGTATCTCTCTCTCTCTCCCTCTCTCTCTCTCTCTCCCTCTCCCTTCCTCTCTGAAAACAATTTTAAAAATTTTTTAAAGGAAAATATAACGACCACTGATTGGTTTTGCAAACAAAAAAACGAGACTCATCTCCGTGAGACTGTTGAAAAGCCCAAACATACTTGGCGGTAAGGAAAAAGCAAGCCGAGCCCTAACCTGCAAGTAAGGCCGGATTTCCTGTGTCAGTCCTGGCCTGTAGGCTGAGAGCTCCACCGTCCAGCTTTAAAGAGGGAATATGTAAGTGCATACGCGACTGTGTTGTAAGGGAATAGAAAGTAAGCGTCCTGAGGGCCCGCGGGCAGCAGCTGCATGCTCTGCAGGATTGCACACCCGGCGCGGACCATAACTACCCATCACAGCCACCAACCGCCCAAACGCCGAGCCCAGCACCCAAATCAGGGTGAAACTCTGCAAACGCAAACGGGGGCGGGGCTTGAAGGAGACTGACACTGGGCTCCGCCTCTCAGCATTACAGCTCCGCCTTTCTAGCCTACATCCCTCTCTGAGTGGTTGAAGACTGCGGAGCTGAATTCCCATTGGCCACCAGCAGACACCAGCTTTGCGCGTCAGGGCGCCGGAGCGGAAGTCGCCATGGTGCGGTTCAAACACAGGTAAGCAGCTCGTGGCTCGCCCCTCGTGCCCTTCCCTGCCCGGTGCCCGCCGCCCTGGCCTCTGCTCACCTCCCTCTCGTCCGCCCCAGGTACCTGCTCTGCGAAGTGGTGTCTGACGACCCCCGCTGCCGCCTGAGCCTGGATGACCGAGTGCTGGGCGGCCTTGTACGGGACACGGTCGCCCGCCTGCACGGGACTTTCGGCGCGGCCGCCTGCTCCATCGGCTTCGCGGGTACGAAGGTGCTGGGGAACCCAGAGGGCTTGGGGGCCGGGGAGGGAGTAGGGGCACAAGCGGCCCACGGAGCTGCCAAGCCTGGTGCACCATCCACGAAGTGTTTTTTGTTTGTTTTTAATATGTTATTCATTCAGAGAGGGAGAGGGAGAAACATCAGTGATGAGAACCGGCTGCGTCCTGCACGCCCCCTACTGGGGACTGACGTGACCTCCCCGTTCATAGGTCCAGGCTCAACCACTGAGCCAGGCGGCTGGGCCACGAAGTGGTCCTTTTCAGGCGTCTGGGACTCGGAGCTCCAGGTGTGGACAGTCCAAAGTTAGGCGGAGAGCTAAGACAGAAGGCAGTGGAACTTTGGGCAAGAATCCCCTGTACCTATTTGACACGTGTATATTGGTGATTGCTACTGAATTTAATAGGATGACTAGAATTAAATGAGGGGAGGTGTGTATAGTTCCTATGAAGTTAGGTGACTGGTTACATTAATATCACATGGGGAAAAGTCAGAATTAACCCTGAAAAGCCCTTAATAGGGCCTGTAAAGCACAGAACACACAATTGTATGAAAATGAGGAAGAACTGGTGCCTCCCAGGAGCCACACAAATCTAGATTCCTTCCCTTTTACTATATGCTTAAAATGGGATCCTGGGAAATTATATGCACACTGGGGGCCCAGTGCACGAATTCGTGCACCTTGAAAGGAACTGTGGGCCGCGAGGCTGTGGTGGGCACAGGGGTGGGTCTCGGCCTATCCTCCGTGGCCCCCGTACCCTCTCTGCCAGCAGCCACGCTCCCACCACTGACAGCTCCAGCCCCACTCGCACCGGCTGACTGCGTGGAGCAATTGGGCCAGCACCAGCAGCAGATGCAAGGGGGTGCAAGCAGTGGCTGCTGCTCTAATCACCCCTCAGGAGCAGGGGGAGGTGGAAAAGCCCTCAGAGGTGATCAGGGCCTGCAGCCGCCGCTCGCACCCACTGATGGCGCCATGCGATTGGGACCGGCGCCAGGCGCCAGCAGTGGGTACGAGCGGCAGCTCCGGTGCCAGCTGCGGGTGTAAACGAGGCCAGCACCAGCAGTGAGTACGAGCGGCGGCTGCCAGCGCTGGCAGCAGGTGCAAACACCAGGTGGGACCACAGTGCATGGGAGCGAAGAATTTTCAGTAATCACCAGAGGCTCGCCCCAATGACAGCAACCAGCACCCCACCTTGGTCTGGCACCCCCGCTCACCTCCTCCACCATCCCACCATGGCTGACACCCACCATGTTCCGCGTGCACCCCCTGGTGGTCAGCGCACATCATAGTGACGGGTTATTTGGTTGTTCTGCTGTTCGATCTATTTGCATATTAGAGTTTTATATATGTATAGATAGAAGACAGGCACAATGGTACATCAGGTGAAACTCAGCTGGCTACAGAGCCTAGCTGCAGAGCCTTTCTTCAGCCAAGGGTTTGGATCTCCACCTCCCCACCCCCAACTTATTAGCCAGTCAGTGAATTAGAAGAACATTCAGAATTCTAAATTCATCTGTTGTGAGTGGTGTGCAAGGCACTGGCTATTGTCTCCCTCTCCCCCTTCCATAAATGACAATCCTTTTCCTTCAGGAATCTGTTCTTACTCAGTGATGTGTCCCAAGTGCCACTGCTTTGAACAGTTGTTGGCACTTAGTAGGCTTAGTTACCCTAAGACCTTTGACCTGCTGCTAAGAATCCAGTTTCCCAAAAATTTTTTTCCTGCTGTAGTGCGATACCTCAATGCCTATACTGGAATAGTGCTACTCCGATGCCGAAAGGAGTTCTACCAGCTTGTGTGGTCAGCTCTTCCCTTCATCACACACTTGGAGAACAAAGGACACCGTTACCCGTGTTTTCTCAACACCTTGCACGTGGGAGGTAGGCTGCATGGGGTGTGGCTGATTTTCAGTGGGTGTCAGGCTCAGAGTTCAGTCATATCTGGTGGGTGGGTCTTCCTATCCTGCCAAGAGCAAGATGCTTTCCCCTAACTCTGAAAGTCTCTGAGGCAGACACCTGTCACCACAAAGCTCTCTCATGTGCCAGGTACAATTAGAACATGTCAGAAGTTCCTGATTCAGTACAACAGGAGACAGCTGTTGATCTTGTTGCAGAACTGCACTGATGAAGGTAAGCAACACTAACCCAGTGCGTACTGAGCAGACTGGCTCCCGGCTGTCAAGAACATCTTTCACCCATGCTGCCTGCCTTTCTCCAGGAGAGCGGGAAGCTATCCAGAAGTCCGTCACAAGAAGCTGTTTGCTGGAGGAGGAGCCGGGTGAGGAGGAGCTTTCAGATGGTGAGGAGGCTGCTGAAGCAATGGAGTGAACCTCTGCGGGCTGCACTGTGCCAGGCCTCGGGGCCCACTTATTGGAACAGGGCATTCTGGGAGGCAGCTGGATCTACATTTCTAGGATCTGCTTTCTCCATCCTAGAATGGATGTCACTCAGAGTCCCGGACACATCTGGTAGATTTGTGACTTCTGCCTCAACCTGCCCTTTCATCTCAGGCTGGAACGCCCTCACCCCCCAGAGTTCCTGACCCTGGATTTCTGAACGGCTTTCGGTTAAGAATGACAGGTTAAAGCTAAGCCCAGCTCACACTCATAGTAGCTGATACTTTAACCTATTTATAGTAAGTATGTCCAGCTGACCTGAATTGAACTTTAAAAAAAAAAAAGCTGCCCTGTCCAGGCAGCTCAGTTGGTTAGAGCATCGTCCCGATACGCTAAGGTTGCAGGCTCGATCTCCAGTCAAGGAACATACAAAAATCAACCAATGAATGCATAAAGAAGGGGAACAAAAATCGATGTTTCTCTATTTTTTCCCTCTCTAAAAACTCAATGAATTAAAAAAATAAAACAGAAAGCTCACATTGCTTGTGCAGGTAATTTATTGCAACTGTTTGCCTTCACATTCTGTTAGACCTAGAGGTTACTTTATTAAGCAGCAAAAGAATTCACATCACTCAAATTTAGCTCAAACCAAGGCATAAGACTACTCTAGACAACAGAGGCAGTGGGCAGCCCTGCCACTTTCAAACCTGTCCTACTCTACCTCCAGGTGTGCTGGACGCCTGCTCCTACAACTCGGGCTACTGTCACTTTAAACAACTTTGATTTAAAGGTTGGAAGGTCCTAAGCCTTCCTTAGTGAGTTATGTCTTTCCTTGCCAAACAGAAGCCATGTGGAAGAGGCAAAACCCTCCATCATACATGCAAGTGCAGCCTAGGTCTAGCCCCAGAGCCTGGCCATGTCAGACGAAAAACTGCAATTCGAGCTGAGTATCCTAAATCCATTTTATTCCATCCCTCTGTTTCTTTAGAGGACTGGACAGACAGAAAAGATTCAACTACTTTTAAAAGACTCACTGAAAGGTGCTAAAACCAGGATGCTCTGGCACATGACGTCAGAGCACAATAGTGCTATTTAACACTCTGTTCTGGGCCGCTTTTCCAAGGGATGTTGAAGGGACTTGTTTATTTAAGGTTGAGAAAAACTAATTACACATGGTCAAAAAGACTAACCTATAACAAACTAAAAACCTTGGCAGGAAGAGATCTCTTATGAGTGTCAATACTTTATTTTGGTGTAAAGACGGGAAGCTGGAAAATACACTGTATTTAAAATCTTGGTTCCCCCTCATATTGTGGAAACCCCCTCCCCCCAGAACTAATCTGTTCAAACTCAGATACTTAAAAATTACAGCAGCAAAACAAAAGCACGGAAAAAAGAAAACCAGCTGGAGAAGTCGCCTGGGCCGGTAGTGTCACTTGGTGTGGACGACTGAGGTGCTGAACAGGAGCTTCTGTTTCTGTTTTTTTCTTTTCTTTCCTCCTTTCTCTTCTAAACGGAAACAGAAAGAGAACTTAGCTTAGAATGCCACCCCTTGTCCCCTGGCCAGTTTTCATGACTGAGAGTGACAATGGCAGCTAAGAGTACAGGTTCTGGAATCAGAATGCCAGTATTCAAATACCAGTCCTTGCACACTCTTTGTTTTTGGACAAGTCTCTTTATCTCCCTAGAACTGTTTCAACTGTAACAGAGTTATACCTATTTAATCTGGCTAATGGGAGAGTAAATTAGCGCAATGCCAGCCGCACACAGGAAGCACAACATAAATGTCATTCTCTAATCATGAATGTCAGAGTGGGCATGGGCTTCGAGCCCAATTTCTCCATCTATGAGCCACCCTTTACCAACTCAGGATTCCAAAATCCACTCTCCACTGCTGTGTCTTAGAAGCGGAAATAAAAGTTCCTCCGAACGTCATATCCAGGCCTCAAGAATGAATCTGAGGTGGCAAAAAGTTGCTATGTGACACCAATGGAATGTTAGCTGCTACGAGAAGGTGAGCCTAAGGGCTCAGGGAAATGCCCGGCTGATGAGTGCCATCTGCCACAGGACCCAGGCTGGAAGGACAACCCTGTGCTGAGCACTCCCCCTGCCTTTACCAGAGAGGGCATCTGAAGTAGCGGGCGTGTCCAGTTTCATGAAGGCTGCTTCGATAGCTTGGCTGAAGGAATTCTGGAAACTGGGCACAGGAACACGGTCCGAGTTATCACTCTCCCCGTCACTGTCCATGGTGGCAGGAGGGACTAAGCTGTTTTCATCTAAAAAACAACCAGTGTTACGATTCTAGGAACAACTCTAGAGACTTCTATCTTCTGAAAAGGGAAAAACCGCCCTTCACCAGGAGGGCCATCCTCACCTTTCTTTGGAATAGTTTTGGGCCACACATCTGCTTTTGCTTTTCCAACTCTCAGCATCTGCCAAAGTGGGAAAGGGGGGGGAAAAAGAAATCTAATGATTTGCTGAATAATGAGAACACTGATTCTCCCTCAACTACTCTTAGCCTCTCTCTTTGGTACGTCTACGATAATATCTGAGACTAACTCTATGAAGTTCCCTCTTAAGAAAGCCTCGTGATTATCAGAATCAGTGCAACATTGGCCTATGAGCCCGCCCCACCCCCCACCCCCCAAACAGAGTGGTTTCCAGAAAGAACAAGCAGTGGAGTTTGTGTTAAATATCCTTGGCTGCTTCCCAAGCACAGGATTTACCTGGGCAAACGAAGGGAAGGGAGAGTCTTCCTCCAGGCTCCCGATGCAGAGTGAAGGACTGCCCTGGCTCGCAGTGGGTGACACAGGGGTCAGCAGAAAGTCTGAAAGGGAACCAGACATCTGATTATATGAGTCAAGTTCCAAAGAGCTAGTGTCTTAACAAGAGTGAAGAGATGAACCCTGAATCAGGTATGGATAATTACCAATCTCAACTCAAAAAGCAAACTTTGACCCAATTTCAACTCTGCCATATTCTCAAAAAGCCAAGAACAAGGCCTATTATTCATACCAGTGATCAGTAGAGAAATGTTTTGCGTTTACAATAACACTAGAAGGTCTGGCAGAATCTATTCCCACAGTAAAAGACCTTTCCACATCAGCTGACTCTCAAGGACTAGGTTTGGTCTGTCATGACTTGGTTTTATGTAGATGAAAACACTCCAAGGAAAAGCTATAAAATGGAATCAGGTCAGCTTTTATGTTCCAGTCAGCAGATGTCTAAGACTTGGGAATATTCAGTTAGAATCCAAACACACACATCAACAAATCCCAAATGAAGATACCAGCTTTTTCCTGATACTCCCTCGGGAACAGTCTTCCCCATCCTTTGACCTTAGGTTGAACGTTTCCCACAGATCAGGTCTACCCGCTGTCCTGATCACTACCCGGGGAAGAAGCCTATTCACTCTCCCACTAGCAGGCCCTTCCCCCGCCAGCCAGAGCTGTTCTATTTCTAGGACCATCCAACTGCTCTTGCTCAAATACCTTCAGAAAAACTAATATGTGAAAACACAATCTTTATATCACATATAACGTGGTTGATATTCTGCTGTATTCCTTTGTATAGCAGCTCTCTTCTTAAATATGCTCTTCAGAGCATCATGGTCGTGTAGCCCTCAAGATCAGCCCAGGTTCTAATCCCAGTCCCGGCCACTAACTAAGGCCCTGCCTTAACCTTAGGCTCCTAATCAATGATAGCCATATCATCAAAGGGTAACCAAGAGTTTTAAATATTATGATCTTGGACATTTTGTTTAAAATACCTGAAAAATAAAATTTAAGTATCACAATATCTGCCAGGTGGATGAAGATCAGAAATGATAGCTCTCTGAAATTATAGCAACTCTTTCTTACGTGTTTAATTTCATAACACAGTAATACATTCTACAGGAGGGAAAAAAATATTTTTTAAAGGCTAAAGGCCTCTTTGAACAATCTCTCAATCCTGGTCTCACTCCCTAGAGTGGAACACAATTACCTGTTTGGAATATAATCACCCCACTATTTTTCTATACACTTAGACATACAAACCCATAACATGTTTTGCGTGTTTTTCTTTAAACCCACAAATGGTATCATGTTCTGTTTGTTCTAAAAGTTCCTTTTATCCTACAGGTCTACCCATTAGTTCATGAAGAGAGCTATTTCTTTCTTCCTTAGGTATAAAGTACAATGTTTCAAAGTATAAATACTATAATTTAGCCATTTACTTATCAGTACACTTTGTAAACTATTTCACCCCCCACACACACCTGCTATCCTATCTAATAAAAGAGAAACATGGTAATTAGCGTACGACCGCTACCCTTCCCATTGGCTAATCAGGGCGATATGCAAATTAACTGCCAGCCAAGATGGCGGCCGGCAGCCAGGCAGCTGGAAGTGAACATGAGGCTTGCTTGCTTCAGTGAAGGAGGACTCCAACGTTCCCCGCCTGCCTTGCCGGCCTCTGAGCTGGCAGTCTGAAACATTGTAACAAATATAGAAGCTAAACAAAACCCCAGAAACCAGCTTTCAGCCGCAGGGATCTCAGAGGTGGAGATGATACAGTGTTTCGATTATAGAACCCAAACAAACCAGATACCTGCTTTTAGCTGCAGAGGCCTTGGCCCAGAATAAAAAAAAAAAGAAAAAAAGGAGCGGTTGGGAGCTTCAGTCACCCACCAGCCTGAAAACAGCCCTCAGCCCCTCACCCAGACTGGCCAGGCACCCCAGTGGGGACCCCCACCCTGAAGGGTGTGTGACCAGCTGCAAACAGCCATCATCCCCTCATCCAGGCTGGCCCAGCACCCCAGTGGGGACCCCCACCCTGATCCAGGACACCTTCAGGGCAAACCAGCCAGCCCCTACCCATGCACCAGGCCTCTATTCTATATAGTAAAAGGGTAACATGCCTCCCAGCACCGGGATCAGCAAGACAGGGGGCAGCGCCCAAACCCCCTGATCGCCCTGCGGCTCTGTGTGTGACAGGGTGCGGCGCCCCAACCCCCCCCCCCCCACAGGCCCTGGTGTGTGTGTGACAGGGTAGAGCCATAACCTCACCATCGGCCCTGCCCTGAGTGTGACAGTGGCGGCGCCCCAACCCCCTGATCGGCCCTGCTCTGTGTGTGACAGGGGGCAGTGCCCCAACTCCCCTATCGGCCCTACTCTGTGCATGACAGGAGGGAGCTCCCCAACCCCCTGATGGGCCCTGCTCTGTGCGTGTCAGGGGGGAGCTCCCCAATCCCCTGATCGACCCTGCTCTGTGTGTGACAGGGTACGGAGCCCCAACCCCTCTGATGGGCCCTGCTCTGTGCATGACAGGGGGTGGCGCCACAACCTCCCCATCGACCCTGCCTTGAGTGTGACAGGGGGCGGTGCCCCAACTCCCCAATCGGCCCTACCCTGAGCGTGATTGAGGGTGGCATCGCAACCTCCCAATCCGCCCTG